TTTCATTTGTAAAATTCTAAACCCACTGCCAGTAGACATTGTTCATTCTTGTCCAGTAGGTATTGCCATGAGCCTCACAGTTTTAAAACGCGCCTAGCCTATTAGGGAGAGGTTTTCGAACCCTTATTAGGATTGTTTCGTTTCTCTCTCCAACAGCCAGTAGATATTATCTATTTTAATCCGTTACGTATCATCGTCAGCCAAACAGTTTTAAAACGCGTCAGCCAAGTTCTGGTCCTCGTAAGAGGGCGTGGGTTCAAATCCCACTTCTAACATCCATCGATGTTTATTGGTTAGGCAAAACTCGTGGCAAAGTGGATAATATCTACTACCACTGTTATGGGCTCGTGTCTAACTTTTCAACGCTAAGAAAGGAAACTCGTTCCGTGGTGGATATCAATTGTGAACATTAAAAGCGTCAAAACATGATTGTTTTCTCAGTTCTCGTATATGAGACCATCCCAAATCGATGTTGATTGAAGGAGGGCTTGAACCTCCAACCTGGTGCAAACTGAGCTATTCCAGCCAATATTTTGTTACAATCCAAGACTACCGTTAGTTGATATTGTCTGCTTTCGTTCGTTACGTCTCGGTATCTCTCACGGTTTTAAACTGAATCTACTATGGATAGGTTTTCAGACCCTTGCAAGAAATGTTTCTTTACCTCTCTAGTCGATGTGGGATCTCACTATCGACCCCTTCTGAGTGCCAAGTGACACAATCGCACTTTTGAAGGCAGCGGACTAGCGATTGTGCGGCACTCACTCTCCAGCGGCAAGTGAGTTAAGCCAATTTGTTCTTGCGTCGCCTACGGCCAAGCGACGTACGGTCGAGCCTCTAGCCTCGATTTTAAAAGAAGGTTTTAGAAAATGAGGAGAGAGAGAGATTTTAGAAAGAGAGATTTTAGAAAGAGACGTTATATAAGCAAGCAAGAGAAAGATAACAACGGCTTAGCATATATAACCTTGGGTAGGGAGAAGTTGACGACTAGTCATATCCCCCTATAGTACATTCTGGGCCATTTTAGTTTTGGCAGGCCTAGACATGATATTTTTAAGGTGTCCTACGCTCTAGAATTACAAAAGGAAAAACACTAGAATGCAAAGACATGACAAGGGTTTGGCTTGTCATGGGCATGCAGCCATGGGCAACATGCCCTGGACAAGCATGACCGTGACATCCTCCCCCACCTAATTTGTTGATGTCCCTGTCAACCGACTACTTTCATACCTTGCGATGTGGGTGGCGGCGGAGTTCAGATCTTCGGCGCGTTCCCAGCTTGTTTCCTCTGTAGGGAGATTCTTCCATTTGATAAGGAATTCACGAATCGTTCGTACAGGTCTTCCTATCTTCCTAACCCTGTCGGCTAGGATCTCTTCCACTTCCTTTGTTTCTTTTTGCTGCAGATCAATGTTCGGTCTTGTGGTTGCATTTCATTGGTCGTCGTCTGGATCAGGGTGATAGGGCTTCAAGTTGCTCACATGAATGACGGGGTGGATTTTCATCCATGCGGGTAGTGCAACTCGGTAGGAGGTAGCCCCGATCTTTTTAAGGACTTCAACCGGGCCTTCATATTTACGAACTAGTCTCTGGTCCTTTCGGCTACGAAATCTGATCTGTTCTGGTCTCAGCTTGATAAGGACTTGATCTCCTGCACGGAATTGAAGGGGGCGACGCTTCTTGTCCACCCATTTCTTCATATGCTTGGAAGCCTTCTCTAAATATGCCCGGGCTATATCTGTCGTCTGCTTCCATTCTCTTGTAAAGTTGTGAGCTTGAGGGTTTTTTCCTGCATAAGGATGATCAATAATATGGGGTAAGGCCGGTTGTCGTCCACTTACAATTTCGAAGGGACTCTTCCCTGTAGACGAGCTTGTTTGACAATTGAAGCAAAATTGGGCGACATCTAACAATTGTATCCAGTTCTTTTGGCGAGCATCGACGAAGTGACGTAAGTATTCTTCGAGCAAGCAATTGAACCGTTCTGTCTGTCCATCGGTTTGAGGGTGATAACTCGAGGAGATGTTTAAGGTTGTTCCCAAGAAAGCGAATAACTCAGTCCAGAATGTCCCAATGAATCTGCCATCCCTACCACTGATGATGCTCGTCGGAATGCCCGATAGCTTTACAACGTGTTTGAAAAACAGTTGGGCTGTGAGTTCCGCCGAGCATAATTTGGGAGTGGGGATGAATGTCGCATATTTTGAAAATCGGTCTACAATAACCAAGATGGCGTCATATTCCCCGACTTTTGGGAGGTGTGTTATGAAGTCCAGAGATACACTTTCCCAGGGTCTTGTTGGCACAGGTAGAGGTTCCAAGAGTCGAGAGACTTTGGCTTTCTCGACCTTATCCTGTTGGCAGATGAGGCACGTCTTGGTGTATTGCATGAAGTCGTCTCGCATATTTGGCCAGAAGTACCCCTTCTTTATTAGGACGTATGTTCTTTGCCACCCAGGGTGTCCGGCCCATAAGGTATCATGACATTCCTGAATGAGCTTCTTCCTCAGTTCCCCCGTTCTTGGGACGTACAATCTGATTCCTTTGGTTATCAGGAGGTCCCCCTCAACCCAAAACTGTCGTGTTTTTCCAACCTTAGCTAGTTCGACAACAGCTTTGGCCGATGGGTCTTTGTGTAAATGTTCCTTGATGATGTCGCGCATCGATCCATCGATCTTACTTGAATGAATATGGGCTAACATGCACAGGGCCGCATGTTCGCCCTTCCGACTCAGCGCGTCGGCTGCTTGATTACTCTTTACTGCTTTGTGTTCGAACTTGAAGTCGAATTCGGCCAACGACTCCCGCCACCGGGCTTGTTTTGCTGTTAATTTTGGTTGATCAAAGAAATGGCAAGTGGCGCTGTTATCCGTCTTCACTACAAACTGTGATCCTAAGAGATACTGTCTCCAGACTCGAAGGCAATGGACTACAGCCAGCATTTCTTTCTCGGAGACAGTGTATCTTCGTTCGGCATCGTTGAGCTTTCGACTTTCATAAGCGATGGGGTGGCCTTCTGGAATAAGGACCCCACCTAAAGCAAAGTCGGAAGCATCGGTTTCAACTTCAAATGGCTTTGTGACGTCTACCAACCCGAGGACAGGACCCCTCGTCATGGTTGTTTTCAGATTTTCGAAGGCCATTTGACAATCATTTGACCACGACCAAGGGTGGTCTTTCTTCAACAGCTCTGTCAATGGGGCGGCTCGTCGTGAAAACCCTTCGACGAACCGCCTATAGTAGCTGGCTAGTCCTAAGAAGGACCGCAACTCAGATACGGAAGTAGGAACCTTCCATTCTTGGATAGCTTTTATCTTGTCGCTATCCATACTAATTTGTCCACATCTGACGACATGTCCATGGAAGTTGATGCATGTTTGTGCGAATGCACATTTCTCCTTCTTCACATACAGCTGGTTCTGCCGGAGCTTGTCAAACACTAGCTTTAAGTGCACTTTGTGTTCCTCGAGGGTTGTGCTGTAAACAACAATGTCGTCGAGGTATACTATGACGAACTGATCCAGGTATTTGTAGAAAACTTGGCTCATCAACGTGCAGAACGTAGCTGGGGCGTTTGTCAAGTCAAAGGGCATTACTAGGAATTCAAAGGCCCTATATCTTGTTACGCACGTCGTCTTGGGTTCGTCCCCTTCGGCAATACGTACTTCATAATATCCTGATTGTAAGTCCAACTTCGTGAAGTACTTGGCCCCGTGAAGTTGGTCGAACAAGTCGGATATTATCGGCAGAGTATATTTGTTGCGTACCGTCACCTTGTTTAAGGCTCTATAGTCTATGCACAGACGCAACGTCCCATCCTTCTTCTTTTGGAACAGTACGGGGGCTCCATAAGGTGCCTTTGTCGGGCGAATAAATCCCGCCTTCAGCAACTCGTCCAGTTGTTTCCTCAATTCGGCTAGCTCGGGCGGAGTCATCCAGTATGCGTTCTTCGCTGGCGGCTTAACCCCGGGGAGGAGTTCGATTTCGTGTTCAATGCCTCGATGAGGTGGTAGTGTTTGTGGTAGACTCTCTGGCATTATGTCGGTATAGCTGTCTAGTACTTCCTTGATTTCCTCTAGGACAGTCTCTTCGGTGGTTGCTTCTTCTATCAGTGGTATGGCCATGAATGTAGGTTCCTCTCGTGCGAGTCCCCTTTTCAGCTGTATGGCCGAGATCATTCAAAGATTACTTGGTTGATTGATGCTTGCAGGTATTACTGTGGGGTTACGGCCAGTGATCACCAAGCATTTTGCGAATGGCATTGGGATGACCTTGTGTTCTAGGAGGAACTCCATCCCAAGTACCACGTCGAAGTCGTCCATGCGAACCACGACAAGGTCTAGCTCTCCAGTCCAATCCCCTATTTTGAAGGGGACTCCTTTGGAAACTCCCACAATAGGCAAGGCCTCGGAGTTGACAGCTTTCATTTTCCCCAGGTCTTTTCCTATGGTGAGTCCCAATCTTCTGGCTTCTTGATCGGCAATGAAGGTGTGGGTTGCTCCAGAGTCTATCAGAGTGCTCTTGCTCGGTTGAGAGTTTATTGTGGCATCTACGAACATGAGCCCTTTCTCTATTATCTCCTTGTCCTTCTCTCTTGTGCCCCTGATATCAAGCATCAGGGTTGAGAACTGTCTGACTTAGTCCCGTATGTTTTCAGTGTGTTTCAGGGCTACTATTTACTCTCTCTTGAGGTCCTCCCATGAGTCAATGGTGCACAATCCATCCTCGATGTCTTGCACCTTCGTACGCCACCACAATTTGGCGTCGTCTATGAGATACATCGCGGCTACAGTCACCTTCTTGTCGTCGGTACAAGCCGTTGTGGCTTTGAAGTACTGTTCGACGTCAAAGATGAAGTTCTCCAACTCTTTGGCGTCCCGATTCCGTTTGAAGGCTCTAGGGTCTGGGAACCTTAGTTTGTTGGATCCTGCACTAGTTTGTCCAGCCGTGACGCCTTCCACGGCTTTCATGGTAACTTCAATTCGAGTGCTCATTCTCATCACTAGAAAGAGGGCTTGAACCTCCAACATTGTGGTTAAGAGCCACAAACTCTAACCAACTAAGCTATTCCAACAAATTCTAACCAACTAAGCTATTCCAACAAACTCTAACCAACTAAGCTATTCCAACAAACTCTAACCAACTAAGCTATTCCAACCAATCATCTCTTATAATCCAAGATTAGTATTAGTTAATATTGTCTACTTTCCATCTCGCACACTTTATTATGACCAACCGTTGGTTGATATTGTCTACTTTCGTTCCTTATGTATCATTTGTTGAACACATCTCCTTGTGGGAACTCTCACACTTTAACACAACTAAGTAGGGTGGAGGGTATTTACTTTGTATTTCTTGGGACCATGAGACTAACCGTTGGTTGATATTGTCTACTTTCGTTCCTTATGTATCATTTGTTGAACACCAACTCTCTGTGGGAACTCTCACACTTTAACACAAAGCAAAGCAAAGCAAAGTTGATTGAAAAATTTAGGGAGAAGCACCAACCCCAACTGAGTTATTCCAGCCAATCATTTGTTACAATCCAAGATCACCATTAGTTGATATTGTCTACTTTCATTCGTTACGTCTCATTATCTCCCTCACGGTTTTAAACCGTATCTACTAGGGAGAGGTTTTCAGACCCTTATAAGAAATGTTTCTTCACCTCTTTAATCAATGTGGGATCTCACTATCGACCCCTTCTAATGGTCAAGTGTCCTCACTGACACATCGTCTAGTGACTAGCTTTGATATCATTTGTAAAAGTCCAAGCGTAATGCTGACAGACATTGTCCATTTTTGCCCATTAGGTATTGTCATCAGCCTCACACTTTTGAAACGCGCCTATAGGGAAGAGGTTTTAGCACCCTTATTAGGATTGTTTCGTTCCTCTCTCCAACAGCTAGTAGATATTATCTATTTTAATCCGTTACGTATCGTCATCAGCCTCACAGTATTAAAACACGTCTACTAGGGAGACGTTTACACACCCATATACGGAATGCCAAATTCCCTC